CCTTCTCCGATACAACTAACTACTCATGTATTTATGATTTTTTGTGCAGTCATAATGTTACTAGTAGATCTATCCTTTTATATGTATAAAGTTTTTAAAAATTGTTTTAGATAATATAACCAGACGGTTCAAATAACTTTGCACTAATTCAACATGATCAAATTATGATATATTGCGCCATTATCATAAATAGAATTAAACAACAAAATTTAGGGGTTCACCATATTTAAATATAATATTGAGTGACTTTGAGGGCGGTGGTGGAGTACGATGAGCTGGGAGAAAGTATATAAAATATATAGTGATATACTTGGCTATCCTAAAATAATGAGCCACCCACTCCCACCTTTCTAATGTAATATATTTGGAGTCTTTTGATTTCTTAAGCATTGTAGTAACCGAAAATTCTCTCTCTTTCTGAAAAGATATTTTATAGTTCAGACATTTTTTTCTTCCCTTTTCCCTCTCTTTTCACTCTATTTATAGAGTTTTTTCAATATTCTAGAAGATTCCTCTTTTATCACCCCAGCTGGGCTAATCCTTTGGGCCTCTTCTTTAATGTGGATTCATTCCCTTTTCCTCAAAATTGGGCCTGCTGGGCTGTCCTTCGACCGGGCTGAAAGCCCCTTCTGGATCCTATGGTCAACATCGAAGTCTTATCCGGTGAGCCTTCCTTTAGGGTTCTTCGTCTTCCAGTCTTCTGTGGTGTGTTCGTCGAATCCTCTCTTTACGGTAAGGTTAGTCCCAATCCGTTGTTACTTCTCAAAAACTTTCTTCTCTTTCTTTTTAATAGATCTGAGAATTTCTCTCATTACCACAATGGTTCCTGGCTTTTGTGCATAATAGCCCCTAAATGATCACATTTTGTTGTAAAATACACCAATGCCTATACAATATTTTATTAAATGATCATAATGCCTCTTCTTATTAAATTCATACTAATTTATTGACATATTCTCCATTAAATTTGCATAAATTTATCTTTAATTTTTGAAATTAATTGTTTAAATAAAAATCTATACTAAAAAATTGAAAGAAAAATTAATTAATTATTTTATTTTATATGAATATATTACATGAAAAAGAAGGTGTTTTTTATTTAGGTAATTTATTAAATTTTCATCAATATATTGTATGAAAAAGTAGATTTTTTTTTTATTTTTAAAAAAGTTTAAACTGGTTATAATAATTTTTATTATAAATAATAAATTAATCATTTTAAAAAATAGTAGTTATAAATCTATTTATCTTTTTTATTTTTATTTTTATGATAAATTGATACTAATAATAAAATTAAGGTAAATAGTATAATTAATATTTAAATAAGAGAAAAGATAATAAAAATAATTTAATAAGAAATGAAAATTTTAATGAGAAAGGGTAAAATAGTCTTTTGTCATGAGTTTGTCCTTAATTGTAACAAATCAATAGTTCCCGCGGGACGCGGTTGGGGACAGTTTTTAGTTTAGGAAATAATTTGTAAAAAGACAATACTTCAAGAGGGTCTTTTACACTTTACCCTTATAAAATAATTTAGTTTAGACTCTAGCGGACAACTTTGGACTAGATTTGGGTTGTGTATTACCTCACTCAATCCAAACTTCATAAAATAAAAATGTTACTAGAGTCCAGCATTACCCAGTGGCCTGGTTTGATAGAGTGCTTATCTCTCTGGGTGAGTGTGTTCATGTTCAAGTCTCCCTCCCTCTAGTTTGTCTACAAAAAAAAAAAAAATTGTTACAAAAAAATACATAATAACCTTATTTGGGAAAGTTCAGGTTTAATTTGAATTTGTTGGTGCAAATTGCACCTTATTTTATGGTCCATGAATGGCGTTATTTTGGCCCTTGACGGGCGGTATTGTGATGATTCTTTCTGCAACTCTCAATTTTGGTAAATTCCAAATCGTGAACTAAAAAAGTCTACAAAATATTAAAGAGATCTAGAGGCCACACAAGCAACAAATGCTCGTCACACAAAATAATTGACATTTTTAGTTTGGTAATTTGGAAAAATAAATAAGTATTGTAATTTATGAAGCTATATTGATAATGTTGTAAGTCAACAGCTTAATTGATCTCAACCACATAACGGTTGAAGCATAAATCGATCAAGAAATAAATATCTAAGTACCAAATATTAAAATCTTCACGAAGTTGTTTTGGATCCATGTTATGCACTAAAATGACCTACTTTTGATGCACAAGATTCCTCCAAACAAGAAGAGGTTTTTGTTCCTATCAAAAGACATGTAGAGATTGATAATTGTATTACATTTCAATCCTATTGAAAATAAAGCTACAAAAGTTTTTTTTTTTTCTTTTCCCGACAAAAAAAAAATAAAAAATTACATATTACAAAGATTCAATTTTCCAAGCATATGAGCAAAAAGAGCAAAAGATCCAGATGGACCACTTCACATCACATACGAAGAGTCCAAACTGAGCCACATGAAGTTGATGCACAATACCATCCATTTGGCTTGGGCAAACATGCGCAAGAGGGAGACATAGAGCCCATGGGAAGGAACCATGTTCATTAACAAGGATTCGAGGCCCAATTAATCAGTCCCATGTGATACAGTCTCCTACAATCACCAAAGTTTCATCCGAAGTTGGCTAACTTGTACGCCTTTCAAAAGAGAGTTTGACATGGTATCGGATCAAGAATTGGGTCTGACTCTGATATTAATTGTTACGAATAATTGCTTGTCCATTTATTTAAAAGTTCAAACTGTTGGATAGTGCTACATACTCACTCATTTGTATCCAATTATTTTTTCATCCGAATCCGACGTGAGACAAATGACCCTTATTACACATGACTACCAATTGAAGCACGGAATCCTATGGATTGTTTTGGATCAATATGGAATTAGTTTTACCTCACTTTTATTTTATATTTTCTCTTTAAAATAATGCTTATTAATAATAAAATTAGAGATAGCATACCTAAGTAGTGGGATTCTGTTTGATTAAGTTTATATACAACTTAATCAAGAAATGTATGGATTAAAAGAGAAATGTTTTTGTTTTTTGACAAAAAGACTAATCAAAATAAAATAAAATAATTTAAATAAATTACACATCAAAGACATAATACATAATGAAAAAGAATGAAAAAAATTTATGTGAAATATTCCATTGATAGGCAAGAACTAGGATAAGGATGAATATATATGTCAAAATTCAAGACTGGCGGTGGGCACAAGAAAGTACGAATGCCATTCCTTGCGTTGCGGGAATGTCACATGCCACTGCCGCCTCGTCAAGACAAAACACCAACTATTTTCATTTATTTTTCGAAAGATTCCAAAATCTAATAATCCCATGAGCGCCAATGTCACGTACCATCTTTAATTCTATAATAAAAATTTGTAGATCCAAGATGATAAGTTAATAACAACACAAAAGTCTTAAACTTCTATAAAATAATAGACTCAATAAAATTTGGAATGCAACTAATAATGTTGTTGAAAATCATTTCAAGTTTTGTAGTAAAAAAAGAAAAAAAAGAAAGTTTTATCTTATATGATATTTAAATTTAAGGATTATGTTTTGATCTTTTTTAGATTTAATGTTGTGGACTTAAGTAGGACTTGCAAATGAACTGAGCCAAGTCCGTGCACATCTCATTTGTTTGCCGATTTAGTTCGGACTCAATTTTGCATATTGAATAAAATAAAATAAAAAGTCAACTTCAATATCATACTCATGCTTGGACTGGTTTGATTTCGTATTCGGAATCGCTTTTGCTCGTTGATGAACTTATATAAGTTTATATTCATGAACATACATGTGAGTTTAGTGTTCATAAGCTTACATGACAATATTTAGGATCGACTAGTTTTGTAATATAAGATACTTGACGAGTTATGATTTTTCAAAGAAAAATAATAAATCTTCCGACCTTAATTACCGTCTCTTCTTTCGAATATAACGTGGTTGGGAATGAGTTGAAATTTTTTTTTTTTTTTAAGAGTTCAAACGTAATCCATTCACATTGTATTTGGATGAGGGGTCGGCAATTGAGATAGGAAGACCTATCATTTCTCTTTTCTAAATATATTTTTGCAATTTCATTTTAACAAAGGGAAAAATATTTGCACTACACTTTTGTATGTACACTTACACTGTTATTATTATTGTTATTATTATTTTTAAAACGAAATGACTTTATTGTCTTTGAAAAATAATACCACAATTATCTTTAAATGTACTGTTACACTATTCTTTTAACCTTTTAAAGATTAATTATGTTTTTTTCAACTATATATATATATATATGAATGTGGTGCAAACTAGTCTGCAAATACGAAGTGTGATATAAGTTTCATCAACAGCTGAGAAGCACATATACCATATATCCGCAAATATATATATTAGTATATATATCAAGTCATTGTAAGTTTCATCAACAGCTGAGAAGCACATATACCGTATATTCGCAAATATATATATTAGTATATATATCAAGTCATTATAAGTTTCATCAACAGCTGAGAAGCACATATACCGTATATACGCAAATATATATATTAAAAAATATTTTGGTCATTTTACCCATAATCATAAAAAATATTTAATTTTCCTTTGGCCTAAAACATACTCTCATATATTATACAAGTTGTTTAAATGAAGTGGAGGAGGAGGAAAACTTTCAGATCACCACCAAGCACTGGTTCTTGCCCTATCCAAGGTAATGTCTTGAAGCTAACTGTGTATATTGAGTATTTGGTGTATATATTAATTACACAGTACACACACATTCACCATATATATGTGTGTGTGAATGCTATTTTTCTTGTCTCTTTTAAAATGGTTGATCAGTGTGAATCAAAATTTTGGAATAGAAACAATAAAACTTCGTCAGCTTCCTTGTAATTTAAATGCTTGATTTGATACAGTATTTGTCACTACCTGACGACCTTCACAAGTGTTTTACCCCTCACATTGGCATTATATATATATATATATATATATATATATATATATCGTATGTAAACGTTAAACTAAAGCTAATTAGGGTTCATCTCTAGAAAGATAAAATTTAATTTTGGGTACTTCAATCATTGATAAACCAATTAAAAATACAAATATAGTCACCAAACCATTGACTGAGTATGAAATTGCATTATTTCAAACACTTTTGGGTCTGAATTCCTCTTTTTAACCTAACCCTAACAACCTACCTACTAACACTTGACAATCCACTTTACTAGATTTGAGCAATCCAAGAAGCAATGACACTGATTCTTTAGCTCAAAATTGAGAGACATGAACAGAAATTCGTTGTTGTCCCACAATTCTGGTACATATACAAGCCCAGGAACACCAGATTACCTGGATAACAGCAATGTGGGGGGAATTCAAAAGGGATGGTGTTCGGAACGAGTACCGATGCCGGTAAACCCTAGCCGGAGGCATCTAAGTGCTGCTGGTTTGATGCCATTCAATAGCGGAAGGACTCTGCCTTCGAAATGGGATGATGCTGAAAGGTGGATTACCAGCCCTGTTATGGGATATGGTGTTAGCAAGAATTCTTCAAAATTGCAATCTCAGAGACAATCCAAGTCGATGAGCGGTCCACTTGGCACTCCAGGGACTGTGTGCTACTCCAATTATTCGCTTGCCATGCCGGTGCAGCAAGTAGGTAGTGTGAGGAATTTCATGGCTGGCTCGCCGTTTACAACTGGAGTACTGGTACCAGATGGTCTGTCCATTCATTATGGTAATGGCAATGGTGGGCATTGTAAACCAGTACTCACTGTGAATAATGTGGGGCAAGATGTTAGTCTACCCGGGTGGTCAGATTTGTTAAGCGAGTCTTCGTTGCCCAGCTCCCGAGGTACGACGATCTTTCTTTGGTTTTTAGATCTTGTTTGGTCAATCTATTTGTCTCCTTTGTGAAAGTAGAGCTTAGGCTTTTTCCAAATCAAGATTGATTGAATGACAAGAACTTTATGGTCTATGTGACATAAAAAGCAAGAAATTCATTTACTGTTTGAATTGTTTCTTGCCATTTTCAATTTCCGCTAAATGACTTCATGAATGCATTACTACACTAAATGTATGTAACGATAGGCAGTGCGTGAATTGGAGGTGCCTAGGAATAGTTATGACCAATTACGACTCCTCAATGTAGATGTTGTTTCTTATTAAAAACAAAATTATTTGGATTGCAGACGAACAGTGATATGTTTTGTGCTTGCACCTGAGTGCCATGATGGGCTTTCAGTGTGCAACCTTGAGCCAACTTGGGGGCTCTATGCATCCACGAGGGGTGTTTAGTGCGCGTTGGGTCTAAGGTCATGCTACCCACTGGTAATTGCTCCATTATCATGCTTTGACTAACTACAATGGCACACTTTCCGTGGCATCATGCCGTAGCTAACACATCCCTTGTGCCTCGTCAAACCACAACCTCCTTGATGTTTCCCGCCATGAAATGTCAATACACAATTGTGGCATAAAATAAGTCCAGCCACATGACACTTTTGTGACGGGCTCAGATTATTGTGTCGACACACCATAAAAAGTAAAAACAAGAAATTCGGTATTTTCTTATATTCTTAGTATGTCCTTACTCAAAGGAGACGTCGAGAGGAGTGAATAGCTCACCAGATGCCAAGAAAACACCAGTGACTTCAACTATCACAACATCTGTAGTTGCCAAGATACGTGATGATTATGGTGCACTGTTGCATCTTTAACAATTACATCAGCTAATATTGGCTTACCAATGCTGAATCAAATGTACAGATGAGAAGCTCGAGGACACTAAGGATTCAGAAGACATAGTCTCTCGTGTTGTTTCACGACAGGATATGGCAACCCAGATGAGCCCCACGGGTAGCAGCCACTCATCTCCCGAAGGAATATCATCTTTCTCTACCTCTCCTCGTGCAATCCTTTCCCTTGTGGAGTCAAACAGCAACTGTTCTGCTAAATTGGAAGTCAGGGATGTGCAGGTAGACAAACGAGCCCTCACGATAAGGCAATTCAAAGAGAAAGGTTCACCAGATGTTGAGGACTTAACTTCACCTTGGGATGCAGAGGCAACAAATAACACATCGAAGTATGTTCTTATTTTTTTTGCAAATTATTTTTTTCTTGTTCCCTTTTATTTTTGAGAAGTGATCGATATTCACAATCCCTAATGGGTTCTCACACTCCACATTAATTTTCTTTTAATAAAGAAATGATACAATTGTCCTCAAAAGTGTATTGTAAGAGTTCTTGAAACAATTGTGGAGTGTGAGAATTGTGTCATTTGGAGTGTGAATATCATTTCCCTTACCTTTTTCGCATCGTATTACTTCTCTATTATTCTCCTTCCTCATTCATTAAAATCAAAAACTTCAGAGACATACCAAACAATTGAAAGTCTGCAGGAAAGACTTTAAGGGGAACATAAACCATTGAATTACCTTATCTCTTAAATGCTTTCACTGGACTTACAAGTTGATTTAATCTCTTTTTGCCACATTTACCTGGTTTGTATTTCATGGCTTAAGCTAGAACATCATCATATTTTACTCTTAATATTTCATAAGCGAAATCAACTTTCTTCCCCTATACGAGATTAAACACCACCTTTATTTTTGGTAACAACGTGCCTTGTTATGAGTTTTTGTGGCATGAATTTGTTGATTTCTTGAATATTATATTTTTAAAAGAGCCATAATTATTTGTGTATATCATATGAAAATGCTTTCATAAACATGATCTACTAAATGATTTAGAAAACTTAGTGGAGGCTATAAAACCACTGCAGCTAGAAAACTGAGAAAACACTGCTCTGTCAAAATCTGTTGCGCAATGTCCTTAGAATATGCTTGAGCACCAAAAGCTGCCATGCCAATCATTCTAGTCTCTTGTTGAATGGAAAACAAAAGAATAGAAAAGAAAGTCATTCTAGTCTCTGATAGCTCCCTCACCCTCAAAATTTCTCCTATTCCTTTCTTTCTGTAAAAAATGAAACTTCTCCAATGTTGACTATTAGTTATTAGGCCAACCTTTTTAAGTCCATCCATCTTTCACCTCCCGAGTAGAAATACACATTTACCAAGATGTCATGAACAGGTAGCATATTTTTCACACAATACAAACACACTAACATTCTTGAGGATGTTTCTTCTGACTTGGACGAACCAACAATTACTTTGATCAGGAAAGAAACTTTCATATGCAGGCCTCCTGAGGTGACTTGATTATCAACTGTCACCTTTTTTCAGCGTGTTCCTGTTTGTCATTTGGGACGTTATCATCTACTACGCTATGAAAAGAAACTCAGATAGAAATTGATCTACACCAAACATTTTTTTGCCTCTATGAGGAAGGCTCACTTGTCACCCATTCTTACTCTTTTCACCCTAAAATTTAAAATTTCACTCTTCTTACCCATTCTTACTCACCCTGTAGTATGTTTAGGTGATTCCACTCCACATCTTTCTTCTTTGTAACAAATCATTTCCCCAATAAAGCAACACCCAACCTAATAGACCTGAATTTTGAAGTCTCATCTCTAATGAGCTCAATGTCAGCTCTCTGTCAACCAAGTGTTTATTCACCATCCATTGCCTTTAAAGATTTTTTTTTTTTGCAATTTACTCTGTCAAAGTTGTGAGGAAACTTGTAGGTAAGTTCAGAAAAAGCTCTGTTTTATGGCAAATTTAGCCCCCTTTTGATATATTCCACTCCTTCCATGTGACTAAAAGGGCCAGGAGGATCCTCACACATCTCTATATATAGCTTGCATTTGCCAATGAACATAACGTTCATGAATTGTGCAGGCTCCAAAGAGATGAAGCCAAGATCACTGCCTGGGAGAACTTGCAGAAGGCAAAAGCTGAGGCCAAAATTCGGAAACTTGAGGTTCGTTTAAAATCTGCTTGTTGTTTTATAGACCGGCAATTTTACCAAGATATCCTTTGCATATCCATAATTTTCGGGGAAGAAAATGTGGATCACTGATGCATCACCTATCTTCTTGTTGGTTGTATTGCATGTTTTAATGAGATACGCTGCATATTTTATTATAAAGAAGCCTCATAGGGTACACATAATTGAGACCGAACCATTTGGTGCTGTGGCCTTTACTTAAAAAAAGTTTTGTTCAGATGAAACTGGAAAAAAAGAGATCGGCTGCTATGGATAAGATCCTGAACAAGCTGAGAATTTCTCAGATGAAAGCCCAAGATATGAGAAGCTCAATTTCCGACAGTCATGCCTCTCAGATTCCTAGGACTTCCCACAAAGTTGTATCCTTCCGTAAGTACATAAAAATGCGTTCCCTCAGCGGTTGGTTCTCCTGCCATGCATGCTAATCCTTCCAAATTCTCTTTCGAGATTACCCTTGACACCAGGTATTTTTAATGCTTCGTAGTTTTTTTACTTCAGAATTTGTGAATCTCATAAGTTTGAGTAGTTTATGGCCAAATGATGAGACCATCAAGTGCAAGCTATATATACATGTGTGATACCATCTTTAAAATTTATGTAAGGTGCTGATTAGCTTATATACTATAAGGAACTTCATTTGTGACTATTACAGTATCTATCAATTGATACATCAGGTGCTAATAATTATATATATATATATATTCTGACTCCAATTAACAATGAGTTTTTCAAACTCCACTCCGCTCATACAACCCTCACCTAAATAGCAACCAGAATATTATATGATGTTAGTGGCAATAACTCCAGTTTAGCAAATTAGGTTTGCGGTTCACTGTAGTTTTGACTGCTGTTAAATAAATATTAATCCGTGTCTGATATATGTTAGTGCTGTTGTTTTGATTTTGTTTTGTGCTCACAACTTCGATTTTTGGTGCATGAAATTTTCCATTATGTGTTGTTTGAATGTTAAGACCGATGTGGCTGTCAGGTTGAGGCTGTTGTTGTATGATTCCAAGCTCTTCTCTCCTACTGTTTGGCATTTCGTGCTAAATTGCTAATTTGGATTCAGAGAGAAATGCTACTTGTAAGGTGAAATATGAAGATCAAGGTTGCTGCTACTTTAATGCCGACACAAGTCTTCGAATCTAGTTCCACAGTAGCCGGGAGTAAAGCATATTTCACTAAGCTGTGGAAAAAGAAAAAGAAAACAAAAGACGGCCGCGAGGTCTCACTGCATCCCTTGGTCGGGGTACATATGTATTTAAAAACTCTGCTAGTATTACACTATATTTTCAGGTACAGATCTCAAATTGATGTCTATTCGTCATGTATTTTTCCTGTCATCAAATTTTCTTTGATATGATATGAACATTTTTATTTTTAATTTTGTTGTTGTTTTATTTATTTATTTTTTCCGAGTTTCGGTAGTATGATGAAGTAATGCATGAGAACATGTGGGGAGGGCTTCTATGATGATGGCAACCTCATTCTATCACAAAAAAAACAAACTCTTATTATTTTAGCTCTAAATTTTTGGATCACTAAATCTATTAGCTTTCAAAGTTTTCATATCTTAGAGAGATAAATAGCTCCCCGTTTCATTTTCAGAATACCACCCTCACGCTGGTTTGTACCCATAAAATTATATACGAAAACTGCACTAAGGTGCCATCTCTTCTTACTTTATTTTTGTTAAGTGATAACTCTGAATGTTTAAATTTAAAATTAATTATTAAAAAAAATATATCAAAATTTAAAATTAATTATTGAAAGAAATTGCAATCCTAAAAAATCACTAGAACATTATTAGTATCCAAAAATCAATTTCATTTCAAACCCACCAATATGCTCTTAGATCTCTACATTTGTCATTGATAATGTTCTGACACATTAAGCAAGAGATTATGGGAGGTACGCCTATTTATATGTATTACTTTCCGACCATTCTTACATCACCAACGTTGTATCTTCCTATAAGTTGATTAGATTTTGCTTGATCCATGATTTATATCTATTTATCAAGCCGGGTGGATAAACTAGCGCTGTGCCCATTAGCTTCTGCATTAATTAGAGAATATTTGCACACTAAGATTATTTGGTATGGGACAAATGAACTCCCATTCCTCTTTATAGACCAAGGTGCACGATCAAGAATTACAGAATGAGATTCTAAGACACTCTACCAAAAAATATCTAAAATATTTAACGATCAAGAATTCAAGAATTACAAAATGAGATTCTAAAATACTCTACCAAAAAAGTATCTAAAATATTTTGAAACTCGTTGTAGAATAGCATTCTAAATAATGCTACACAAACCTATACAACTCAAGTATGGAGAATTCTAAAATGTATAATCATGCAAACTATACATGAGTTTAAAGTGTTCTAAAATGCATTGTAGTTGCAAACAATCCACAGCATCGTTAAAAACTATTGTACGACTTTCTAAATATTTTAAAATAACTGTACAATAATATTCTAAATAATACTACACAAACCTTAAACCTATTAAATATCGCTTAAAATATAGTAAATATATATATATTTTTTCCTAGAACGTTCTTCACAGATGCTTGAACCCCTGACATCTCTTTAAAAAGTATGAACTTGGTACTTCTAGGTCATTGGCATGTTGGTTAGTAAAATTTTAAGTAGCAAAAATTAAATTTATTTTTAATTATCACTAAAACTTAACACTTTGAATTCAGCCCTTAATATTTAATTTTATAAAACTACTACTTTTTAATTAGTACATTCGAAATGAACACATCACATATTCTTTGATTTCTAATACTTAGGGGTGCACGGACAAAAAACCAAATCTAATTCGCACGCAACGAATTCATAAAATTTGAATTCAATCCAATCTGATGAGAGCTTTAATCAAATCGGTGAAATATCGAATTTGATTATATTAATTTTACTTTCTATAAACAACCTAATAATTTCTTAATTTTGTAGCCCAATATAAAATTGAGATGAAATTATTATAATATGACGAAGAACCTACTAAAGCATCAACCTTGGTGGCAGATTAAATCAAACCAATATTTCTAGAATGATCAAACAGTGCCAATGTCAATTTGTATGAAATAGGAATTTATTTTATTTTTGGTACATTTTTCTTTTATTGTCTTTACAAATATATACATAAGAAAATAAAAAACAAATGAATAATTTTCCTAGTAAGTTTCATAGAATTATACTCCTACCTTTCCGAATCCTTTTTTAACCATATTTTACTGTGTCTTGTATAAAAGAAAGGCATGACATCATGGTGATTGAGATTAAAGACATCAAAGTATGCAATGAACAAAAATATAATTATAATGACAAGATGGAAAAGTAATAACATATATCATATAATATAACATAATATAATATATATATATATATATTTATATTTGAATAACTTCCAACTCTAATAAAAATATTATAAATTAATCAAGATTCTATAATTGTCTTACTCAATAAAACATATAAATAAAAATGGGAGTTGATATTGGGACACTACTAATGGCTTAAAGTGCTCCACCCTCTTTCTTGTCAAAAATGAAATTACAAAAGAGTCCTTTCATTACACCATCTTTATTTCTTTTCTTTTTAATACCTTGATTGCCCTTAAAAATTTCAATTTATATATCAAAGTTTTCTCTCTTGTATTAAAATTTGACAACTCCTTTTTACCTTTTTTATAATTTCAATTTATCAACTTTTTCTCTTACAAAGCTAAGTTAAGGATTTTCATTTTGAAATTTATGTGTTTGTTGTGACGACAAAAATGTAATTTATTTAATATACACACTATCAATAAGTTTTATCTATTCATATGACAATTTACTATTTAAAAAGGATTCCGAGAGACAAGTTTTTGTATTTGTTTCCAACTCAAATACCTTCTATTCTAATGACATTCATATTATTATTATCAGTAAATAGTGCTCTCTCAAGTTTTGATATTGAATTCTATACTTTTCTACTTCTATTTACGCTCAGTTTGTTTGGATGTAAAATATTTTTTAAAAAATATATATATTTTTTATTTTTTTGGTCAAACTGAGCCTTAATGATAATTTCTTTATATATATATATATATATATATATATATATATATATTCAAAACCAGCTCAAAAATATATATATTTAAGAAGAAAGTAGAATCGTCAGCTCGTGTCGTGAGATGTTTGGTTCAGTCCTCTAACGAGCGAAACCCTCGTTTTGTGAAATAAAAAATAAAAAATAAAAAATTCACCATTAAATTTGGGCAATAGAGAAAGGGAGGGGGAGAGAAAAAGAAGTTGAAGGAATTTTCATTTTAGCACCAAGAATCTTACCTTAACTGGAAAGGACAATTATGGTATATAAAAAATTGTAAGAATAAAATATTGAGCTTTGTTGTAATTTCATTTAAAGAGAAAGATGATGTAGCGCGAATATCAGCTCTCATAAAAAAATGGTCTCATAAAAAATTATGTGTTGAAAGCTGCATGTGGTTCAAATTCTGCCAATTCACCGTGCAATAGCTCACCATTTGCATCATCATGCAATATGTCATCACTTAAATCATCAACTTTCCCTCCAAGTATGTATGATCTCCGAGCTATGTTTGAAAAGTTTTTGCTGTCACTTGATCAACAAGCATAAGCTGCTATAAATAGCCTCTGCCCATGGCATCCGAAATCATCAGTTGTATTGTGAGCTTGTAATATCAGTTTGAGAGTGAGAGAGTTTAGGTATAAATTGAGTTTTGAGTGTGAGCTACTTTACATTATATCTCTTTATTTTTATAGTGAAATATTGTTTTGTCTTCCCCGTGAACGTAGGCATAGCCAAACTACATATATTCTTATCTCATTTGTTTATATGCTATTTTATTTTTTTGCCATTCATTTTTTTGTCTTTGTTCTAGTAAACTCCTACTCAATCCTTCTTTTTCATAGCATGATGTTTATATTGATGGCGTCCTCTGTACTCTCTTAAAATTTGAGGCATCCATGTTCTACTATTTATAGAATTTGAAGCGTTGACTAATCGGTGTCCCCTGTCCAATGGACTTCTCCAGGATCAAGTTAGCTGGGTAGCTTAACTGGTAGAGGCATTCCCCGAGTCATGTGGGAGCCCACCTCAACCAAAGTCATAGAAGTCATTATCACCTAAAACTCCAGAGGAAAAATCAACTCAACCTAACCAGACAACAACCAAGACACCAAGTTGAAGGGTATGAAATGAAACAAAACAAACACATGAACAATCAAATGCATCGTCAAATTAGAGAAGGGGGCAGTAGAAAAGAAGATGAATAAGTGATTATCACTTGGTGTAGGCGAATCAATTGCAACCCGCGAAGCACGTTGACATGGGGAAAATTAAGTTCATGCATCACAAACAAAGTTTAAGTTTCCAATGTTCCACAGGAACTAGAAAGCAAAGAAGACATTTTACGCAATGCATAAATTAATGTAGTTTCATGATTGAAGAAGCATCCATAAAGGGCAAAAAAAAAGATTCATGTCGATCGTAGTTATGATATTAGTGGCAACAACACCAGTTTAGCAAATTAGGTTTGCGGTTCACTCTAGTTTTGACTGCTGTTAAATACAATATTAATCCATCTTGTTCTGCTTTTGTTGTGTGCTCACAACTTCGATTTTTGGTGCATGAATTTTTCCATGTGTTTGTTTGAATGTTAAGAAAGATGTGTCTGTCTGGTCGAGGCTTCTGTTGTATGATTCCTATTAAGCTCCTCTCTCCTACCGTTTCGCACATTCGTGTTGAATTGCTAATTTGGATTCAGATAGAAATGCTACTTGTAAGATGAAATATGAAAGCTGTGGAAAAAGAAAAAGAAAAGAAAAGACGGCGGCGAGGTCTCACTGCAATCACTTGCTTGGGGTACATAATGTATTTAAAAACTCTTGCTATGTACTATTACACTATATTTTCAGGTACAGATCTCATATTGATGTCTATTTATCATGTACTTTTCCTGTCATCAATATTTTCTTTGATATTAGATGAACATTTTTTAAATTTTGTTGTTGTTGTTGTTTGTTTTTTTCTTCAGTTTCGGTACGTAGTATAATGAAGTAATGCATGAGAATATGTGGTGGCTAGGGCTTCTAATTCTATGGTGATGGCAACCTCATTCTATCCAAAAAAAAAAAAAAATTTCCCTCATTATTTTAGCTCTAAATTTTTTGATCACTAAATCTATTAGCTTTCAAAGTTTTCATATTTGTGAGATAAACAACATTGACTTCACGCTTGTACAACGGAATTACATATGGAAATTGCAAAGGCACCTTAATTTTATTATGTGACTATTCAAATGGTGAACTAGATAATTATATAACTGATGAGAATATCAAATTTAAAATTAATTATCGAAAGAAATTAAAAAGTATATCAAAATTTAAAATTAATTATTGAAAGAAATTGCAATGGTACAAAACTACTATAGTATTAGTATCTAAAGTATGTTCAATCATTAAAATGGTAAAAGGGACAGATATTGTGTTGAATTGGGTCAAATCATTGTTGTATCTTCTCTATAAATTCCCTAGATTTTGCTTGATCCATGATTTACCTATCCCATATAATGGTGTGGTCATTAGCTTTCACAGACTTTGCATTGATTAGATAATATTTGCACACTAGAATTATTCGGTGCGGGACAAATCAACTCCCATCATCCCTCTTTATAGGCCCCTTACAGAGCAAGAATTATAGAATGAGATTCTAAAATACCCTACCAAAAAAATATCTAAAATATTTAGAAAGTCAGTGTACAATAGGATTCTAAATAATGATACACAAACATATACAACTCAGGTATGGAGAATTCTAAAATGTATTGTCATGCAAACTATCCAAGAGTTTGAAGTGTTCTAAAATGCATTGCAGTGCAAACAATCCACAGCATCGTTAAAAAACAATTGTACAGTAGTATTCTAAATAATACTAAACAAACCTTTCTAAATCATTTTTAATAAAAAGTATCGGACACTTCTACAGAGTGTTAAAGTTCGAGTTCATGTAAATGCAACACATAATACACAATTTAAATACCGCTTAAAATATAGTTAAATTTTAAGTGACAAAAATTTCAATTATCACTGAATGGTTAAATTTTAAAAAGATATAAAATAAAATAAAATAAAATTTTATTTTTAATTTTCATTAAAAACTTTAGCACTTAAAATTTAACTTTTAATATTTAATTTTATCAAACTACTACTTTTTGGTTAATACATTCGAAATGAACACATCACATGCTCTTTGTTTTATATACTTAGGGGTACATGGACAAAAAAGCCAAATCTAATTGTTACATAGTCACCTTATTTGTCATGTGACTACTCAACTTGTGAGTTAGGTGACTGTGTAGCTGATGAGAGTATCAAATTTAAAATTAACTATTGAAAGAAATTAAAAAATATATCAAAATTTAATATTAATTATTAAAAGAAATTGCAATTGTACAAAACTTATATAGCATTATTAGTATCCAAAAATCCATTTCTTATGCATCTCTCATTGAGTATGTTCTGACACATTAAGATGGAAAAAGGTATAGAGACTATGCTTTGAATTGGAGGTACACATATTTGTATGTACCAGCCCAGATAATTTGAAATCTTTTCTTCATCACCGAAGTTGTATTTCGACGTTGTATTTTCTTATAATAGATTTTGCTCAATCCATGATTTACCTTTATTAAGTTATTTTGATAAGTTAGCGCTGATGTGGTCGTCCGCTCTAGCATACTTTGCATTGATTAGAGAATATTTGCACACTAAAATTATTTGGTGTGGGATAAATCAACTCCCACCCTCCCTTATCATTGAACGACCAAGAATTATAGAATGAGATTCTAAAATACTCTACCAAAAAAATATCTAAAATATTTTAAAAGTCAGTGTGCAATAGTATTCTAAATAATGATAAACATATACAACTCAAGTATGGGGAATTCTAAAATGTCCAAAAGTTTAAAGTATTCTAAAATGCATTGTAGCAATCCACAGCATCGTTAAAAAACTATTGTACACTGAGTTTCTAAATATTTTAAAACAACTTTACAATAGTATTCTAAATAATACTAAACAAACCTTTCTAAACCTTTTTTAATAAAAAGTGTCGGACACTTCTACAAAGTGTCAAAATTCGAGTTCGTGTAAATACAACACTTGACACACAATTTAAATACCGCTTAAAATATAGTTAAATTTTAAGTGGCAAAAATTTCAATTATCAGTCAATGGTTAAAATTTAAAAAGATAATTATCACTAAAACTTTAGCACTTAAAATTCAGCTTTTAATATTTAATTTTATCAAACTACTACTTTTTGGTTTGTTTTATAATACTTAGGGGTGCACCGACAAAAAAAAAACCAAATCTAATTGGCTCTCAACGAATTCATAAAATTTGAATTGAATTCATAAAATTTGAATTGAATTCAATCCAATTTGACGAGAGCTTTAAATCAATCCGTGAGATATTGAATTTGATTATATTAATTTTACGAGTTTCTATAAACAACCTAATAATTTTTTGTAGCCCAATATAAAATTGAGATGAAATAATTATAAAATGATGAAGAACCCTATTAAAGCATCAACCTTGTGGCAGATTAAATCAAACCAATATTTGATCAAACAGTGCCAATGTCAATTTGTATGAAATAGGAATTTATTTTATCATTTGGTACATTTTTCTTTTATTGTCTTTACAAAGATATTATACATAAGAAAATAAATAACAAATGTATAGACAAATTTTTTATTCCATATCTTAACCGTATTTGTATTTTTAAGTGTTTTTTTTAATAAATTTTATTATACTTCTACGTTTTAGACATGGCAAACTCAAAATGTTCGACTTCTTTTTCTTTAAATGATTGACATTAAACACATTATAATATGCAATGAACAAAAATATAATTATAATGACAAGATAAAAAAGTAATAACATCATATAAGAAATATTTGAATAACTTCCATCTATAATATAAATATTATAAATTAATCAAGGTTCTATAATTGTCTTTCTCAATAAAACATATAAATAAAAATTTATACTTATATCGATTGTATCACTCTACTCTTTTAGAATTTGAGGCATCCGTTTTCTATTATTTATAGAATTGCTCTACTCTTTTAGAATTTGAGGCATCCGTTTTCTATTATTTATAGAATTGCTCTACTCTTTTAGAATTTGAGGCATCCGTTTTCTATTATTTATAGAATTGCTCTACTCTTTTAAAATTTGAGGCATCCGTGTTCTACTATTTATAGAATTTGATGCGTTGACTTACCAATGTCCCCCGCCCAATGGACTTCTCCAGGGTCAGGGTAAGCTGGGTAACTTAATTGACAGAGGTATTCCCCAAGTCATGTGAAAACCCAAGTTTGACCCCACCCCGTCCTCTCCCTCCATGCTATGTTATAAAAAAAAAAAAAAAAAAAAAAAAAAAAAAAAGAGACTTCAACTAGAGCAAGAGAAGTCATTACTCCCTCCGTCCCATTTTAAAAGTCCATTTCGAGAACTATGACTCACAGAGGGAGAGAGGGGGAAACCTAACCAGACAATAGCCACGACACCAAGTTGAAGGGTAGGAAATGAAACGAAACGAAACGAAACATGAACAATCAAGCGCATCAAATTAGAGAAGGGGGCAGTAGAAAAGAAGATGAATAAGAGATTATAAGTTATATAAACTATGTGTTAGATCAATTTGCCTGCAGGCAAATAATGTTTAACGAAATATTCCACCATAGAATATTAGTCAGAATATGGTTGTTATAGAGGGTTTTAACAAAAAACATAAAAGAAATTTATCTGCAAAGTTAGGTTGCATAGAACATTGAATTCAGCAATACTTTGCACATCAAAAGAACTATCCTAATACTTTAAGCAAGCTTGATTAGCCAATGCAGCATCGCGTTACTTTGATTACCCAGAAACAACTTTGAAGCAGTGCCCGTGACCATATCTCTAGTATGGCCTATACCTCAAATCTGCGCGTGAAGGTCTCCCGCTACCCATGCCATAGCCCCACTGCAAAACAAAAAATATTAGGTCATTGTTTTTTCCCCTTCCTGTCAAGTATCTTTAGTAACAACTAACAAAGGTCATGTCATGTATTTATTTTCTTATACTCACATCATCAAAATTCATGCTTCCATACATCCTGCCAAAGGTACGCATAGGACCGCCATAGCTGCCATATGGTTCGGGATTATCCATCATTAAATTGCTGCTATGACCAACGGCATCATCATCATCAATTGGTGTAGCCGAATCAATTGCAACCTGTGAAACAAGTTGACATGGGGAAAATTAAGTTCATGTATCACAAACTAAGTTTAAGTTTCCAATATTCCACAGGAACTGGAAAGCAAAGAAGACATTTTACACAATACATAAATTAATGTACTTTCATGATTGAAGAAGCATCTATAAGGGAAAAAAAGATTCATGTCATGGTTAACTATGATGTAAATTCATCATTTCCAGTCAGAACCAAGGTACGACTTGGAAATTTAGAACTGTATCTAGCTGTGTACTGCAAATAGAATCTTAGAAGATCAACAGACAGACCCAACAAGGACAACTTTTGCCATGTATTGTTATATATAAAATCACAATACATACAACAAATATTACTTTAAGATAAGCTATTGTAACTTTTTATGGCTTAATATAATATTTGTATTCAACGGATCAGAATATTCAATAACCACCCCGTCGTACTAACAAAGACATTAGTCAGGGCAGGCAGAACAAAAATATGCATGCATGTACATACTGACATGTTTTATGCATATGTAATTATGATGGATTCCTCTACCTCTTATGCTCATTGTTTGATAATGCTTTTCCATGTCAACCTTATCCAAATAAAAGACTGATCAAAATAATCCTTATTATTATTAAATATATATATATATATATATATATATATATATATATACACATTTTCCCTTATGAAGAAAAGAAAATCATATCTAAAACATCCAAGGTTTTTTTTGGTCATCTGGTTCCACGAGACAAAGAAGTGTGCCACCAATCTATTAACTTAACCTCATTTTTAAATATATAATTTGTCCAAGATGTGCAAATATCTTGAAGAAGTGTCCTGTGTGTTCCAAAGTGTGCGACACAGACACGATTTGTTCTTAAAAGTGTCCGTAATTACTAAAATATGCATAGATGTCAAGCTGGAATTCATATAGCAAAATTGCATCTCAATTTTTTTAAATCACAAATGGTATTGAAAATGACTCTACGATTAGATGGTAAATTCAACAAATATCAAGATCATATTCAAAACTTTGGTGTATCTACGCCCATAATCCAAGGTATATATCGCAACGGTGCCATGAATTTAAAAAATAAATATTAGATAATAGGTAATTGTCAAACTCGTTTAAAATATGAAGAAATATGTGGAGACTGCAGTCATGGTGACATTGTTGTTGCAATGAGTCAAACAAATTATGAACCTTGTCAAGAGTCTGAAACTACAAACCAGATATCTTTTAGCAAACTACAAACCAGATAACAGGAAGAAGCATCAGATAACTACAAACCTTGTCAAGCATCAGGAAAATAAAAAATGTAAATGAATCGGTCAATCAAAAGAGCTTCCCACAAACATCTTTTAGCATCTCTAAACTTGAATTCTTAAAAAGAATGAACTCGTCACTCAAAAACAAATAAAAAAATAAGAAGATGGTAATCACAGTTAAAGGGAACACGCAGGAATATTCTTCCAATATAAACTTTCCAAATGTTTTAATATAAAAAAAAAAATTAGAAAGATGAGTAAGATAAATGACAATTTGGATGATAAAGGACCCTTCCATTTAGTACCTGCTGTCCACATATTTCATGGGACCTTCGAGACACGCGATCTGCTACACCATCCTCAGCAAAGGTCACAAAACCAAAACCCCTGTGCCCAGTTCTCTTGGGATCCTGCATCAAACAATCATCCGTTTGCATTTTAAAGAGAATCCATCTAATTGTACTATAAGAACCACTGATAACCCACCTTCGGGACATAAACATCTAAAATATGGCCAAATCTTCCAAAATACTGGCGAAGATCATCAGCACTTGCCTCCTGAGGAAGCCTCCCAACAAAAATCTTTTTGCCCATCCCTCGAGAGGAATCCCCTCCTAAACCAAAATAGTGAATATGAATGCATGCTTAAATGCTACCCAGAGGAACTGCACGAGTGCATATTTGCAAAGGAACCTACTTCCGTAAACAGAGCCTGGATGATCATATAAGGTAGGAGCACCTAACGCAGCATATCTAGTTGCTGCAGTGATATAAGCATTATATGCACCATACCCACCACCTACTGGCATTCGGCTTACTGGTCTGAAGTCGTCCTCCTGGGAATTTAAAAAAAAAAATTCATGCAGCAATCATCAAAAGAGATAAATAAATTTAAACATCAACAAGAACACGTTGTTGCATATCAAGAATGTGTTCATTAACCTATGAACAATCCAAGACATGCAATATGATCTTCGGTTTATCAGAAGTGAATTAAATTTCAATCTAAAAGAATTACAAGTTTTCAACTGGCAAATAAAAACAAAACATAATCAAAAGTGAGAAGTCTAGTGCTGCGATTAGTTGCCTTTGGAGTTGCTCGGTCAACAACTATGGTGGAACCTCCCAATTCATGAGTTTCAGCAATCAGATTGTCCACAGATTCTGCAACAAAACCATTTAAAAATAAAACAGATGACTCAAGTTTCAAATAAACAATAATATAAACCAATAATTTACCCAATAATAATAATAATAATAATACCAATAATTTGCTACAAGCACACTTCCTGGTTTGGACCCACCACACATCCCCTATTTTCTACAATTTTTAGCTTTTTTTTTTTTTTTTGATAAGTAAATATATATTAGAAAGACGTTCAAAAGGGGAACGCGTCCCTAATACAGAAAAACGAAAGAGCAAATGCCAAACCTATGGACCAACAGAGTCATCGATCGAGGAGCAAGCGCTGCCTCTGACATAACAGAAAAGAGACCGTAGGATAAAAGACTTAAGGTTTTGCAAAAGACGATTCCTTCCCTTCAAAGTTTCTGTTATTTCTCTCTCCAAATACACCACCAAACACAATGTGGGGCGACCCTCCAAAAATCACAAGCATGACCAGAAACAGGGCATCTTCTCCAAGCATTAATTAATTGGAAAGAGTGCTTAGGCATTACCCACTGAACGCCAAAAATACTGAATATGAGATTCCAGCAATCAGATGCAACAGGACAATGCATAAGAAGATGGTCCACGAACTCACCATCATTTTTACAAAGACAGCACCAATTAACAATGGTATTACCTCTCTTACGCAGATTATCCAATGTTAAAATTTTTCCCCAAGTAGCAGTCCAAACAAATAAGGCAACTCTAAGAGGAGCTTTAGAGCGCCAAATACACTTCCAAGGGAAATCATATCCAATAAAATTAGACAAACACAAGAACATGGATCAAACTTCGAATCTATCATGAAAAGAGGGAGTCCACAAAATATCATCACAACCTCTGCCAACATCTTTCTGTCTATACAATAGGTCCAAAAAGACACAAACTTCAGTTATCTCCCAATCCTAAAAGGAACGCCTAAAACGCACATCCCACGTAACTCCACTGTTATCAAGATGATAACAGTCAATTACATAAGCATGCTTATTCTCGGCAATGCTAAAGAGACGAGGAAAAGAAAGAGACAACAACTGATCACCACACCATAAGTCTTCCCAAAATCTAACATACATACCATTACGAACCTTAAACCGAATATGGGTGGAAAACACATCCCAACCTTTCCGAATGAACTTCCAAACGCCAACGCCCCCGGTAATAGAAACAGGATGAGAGGACCAACCTCCACTCTCTTCCCCAAAACGACACGAGATAACTCTTCTCCATTGTCGATGACGTTCTTTACCGAATCTCCACAACCACTTCCCCAATAAGGCTCTATTGAAAGGGACTAACTTCCGGATACCTAAACCGCCAAACTTCAATGGTTTGCAAACCTGTTCCCAATTAACAAGATGATACTTAAACTCCTCTCCTTTTCCACCCCAAAGAAAATATCTCTGAATTTTTTCAATTCGTTCAGCAACAGAACACGAGATCTGGAATAGAGATAAGAAATATGTGGGAAGGGACGAGAGGGTGCTCAATAAGAGTGACCTTCCCCCCTTTCGAAAGATACTATTTTTTCCACCCCGCCAATCTTTTTTCATACCTGTTAATCACCGGATCCCAAGTGCCCACTATCCTAGAGGAGATTCCCAAAGGTAAGCCCAGATAAGGGAGTGGAAAGGCACCCATTCCACATCCAAGAACAGCAGCTAAAGTGGAAATATTAGAGACCTCCCCACTGGGACAAGCACACTATTTCCAACATTAATCTTAAGACCAGACACTGCTTGGAAGCATGTAAGAATGTACCTCAAATACCTGAGTTAGGAAACATCAGCATCACAGAAAACCAGGGTATCATCTGCAAACAACAAATGGGATATCTCGATCTGGTTAGCAACATCTCTACTAACAGTGAACCCCCTTATGTAACCCAAATTCTCTGCTTTTTTCATTAATTTACTCAATCCCTCCATGACAATAAGAAAAAGAAAAGACGAGAAAGGATCTCCTTGTCTCAAACCACGCGAACTCGGAAAAAAACTAGCAGGAGAGCCGTTCACAAGCACAGAGAACATAACTGATGAGATGCAAGATTCAATCCATTTTATCCATCGATCTCCGAACCCCATTCTCCGAAGCAAATAAAGAAGAAATTTCCAATTCACGTGATCATAAGCTTTCTCGATATCCAATTTGCATAAAACACCAGGAACTTCACTCTTTAACCTGGAATCGACACATTCTCCTACAATAAGAACAGAATCTAAAATCTGTCTACCACCAACAAAAGCATTTTGTGACTCTGAGATGATTCCATCCAAAACAATCCGCATTCTAAAACAAGGACCTTGGCAATAAGTTTATACATACACCCCACTAAACTGATTGGCCGAAAGTCCTTAATGTCAGAGGCGTTGCTCTTCTTAGGAATAAGAGCTATAAAAGATGCATTTAATGATTTCTCGAATGTGCCATGAGAATAAAATTCCTGAAAAGTGCCCATTACCTCATTACGCACCACCTCCCAACTCTCTTTAAGAAACCGCATAGTGAATCCATCTGGCCCTGGAGCTTTATTACCATTACAACTGGATAACGCCTTAAGAACTTCCCCTTCAAAGAAAGGAACCTCAAGCATATCACTATCCAGCGTAGAAATAGCATTGAAGTGCAAACCATTAAGTTTTGGTCTCCATTCCAAAGTCTCAGTATAGAGTTGCTGATAAAAAGAAACAATACCCCCACGCACCTCATCTTCTTTCCACAGCTCTGAACCATTCACACGAATACGCCCAATATTATTGTATCTTCTATGAGCGTTAGCAAGTCTATGAAAGAATTTAGTATTACGGTCACCTTCTTTAAGCCACAAAGCTCGAGATTTCTAACGCCACGATATCTCCTCCATAGTAGCAATCTCAGCAATAGTTGCCTGACAAGACGCTTTTCTAGAGCGAAGAGAATCCGTATCTTGCCCTGTCTCATCAAGACGATCAAGATTAGCGATATCAGCCAGGACTCTATTTTTCTTCCATTCAAGATTTCCAAACACTTCTTTATTCCATTTCTTAAGCTCAGATTTGAGAGTCTGAAACTTCTTAGCAAGCACATAGCTATTAGAGCCAATAAGCGTTGTTTCTTCCCACCAGGACTAGACCTTCCCTTGGAAGTCCTCAGCTCTCAACCACATATTTTCGAAACGAAATGGAGTCCGTCTAGATCTCATGCCTCAACAATCAAGAACTAAGGGCACATGATCAGACGTGACTCTAACCAAAGCTGATTGAGTGACATCTGGAAACTTCTCCTCCCAATCTCCAGAAATTAGGAATCTATCAAGCGTCGATAAAGTAACTGGGTCTTTGCCATTAGACCAAGTGAAAGTTGCCCCTTCCAAAGGCAAGTCAATAAGAAGGTGACCATCAATAAAGTCAGAGAACTGGGTCATCTCTGAAGACCACCTCCCCCCTGTGGATCTTTCAAATGGAGACCGAACATAATTGAAATCCCCGCCTAAGCACCAAGGCAACGGCCACAAATCCTTAATGTAACTGAGTTCTTGCCAAAAAGCAGGTCTAACACAGTCAATAACGGGTCCATAAACTCCAGAAAATACCCAACTGAAGTTATCATCTTCCATCTAAAACACGCAAGACAAAGAAAATAGCCCTTTCCAGATATTCGTTCTAGACATCCATCTACGATCCCACATAATAAGAATACCGCCTGATGTACCATAGGCGTTCAAAGCTTCCCAATCCACGAACCTACTTCCCCAAAGGCTTCTAACCACGGCATCAGAAATAGAAGCCAACTTGGTTTCTTGCAAGCAAATAACATGGGCATTCCATTTCTTCAAAGCAACTTTAACCACCTTTCTTTTGTCCGGATCATTTAATCCACGGACGTTCCATGTAATAATTCGTATCTTCACTGAGAACCAAAGATAATTAGTGCCCCTCCTCCCTGCTTCCCACTTCTAGTCCTTCCCCTTTTTTTATTCACCCCATCATTCCCTTCGTAATTGATATTGGAAATAAGGTTCTTAACCTCCTGATCACCTTTCCGATGTGCATGTTTCTTATTTTTAACAACTTTTGTGCTTTTAAAGGTCTCTACATTATTGTTTCCTTCCACAATATCATAAAGAATGATTTGTGTTCGATCATCATCTCCTTCCGAGGAGACACCCCAAGCTTCGCTGACCTCGCCAATATTATCCAACACCCAGTCCATACCCATGTCGTTAACTGTCTCTAAGCAATCAAGGTGCACAGTTGCTAAGGGTTCCATAATGTCCACATCAGATTGATCAACATCCCAGGCAAGAGGACAAATCTGTTGAGACTGATCATCAAAGTCCTCCCCTTTGCTTTCAGCACAGTTCTGATACAAGTTTAATTGCAAATTCAATTATGTTCCAGTGTCATCCATAAAAAAATTTCATTAAATCATGGGTAGAATTGGTCCCAGTCACGGGGGGTAGACCATTTAAGCCTTTTAGAGCAGCACAGTGCTTGAGTTTATTAAGTAAAGTCATGGCTAAATCATCTTTCAGTTTAAAATGAAGGTCTCGACCAACACAAACTGTCACCCCGTTAGAACAATCAATACTTCCGGACTTGGACATTGAAGACGATGATCCTGCATCCCGTGGTACAATAGCTTTAGAAAAACCTCTCTTTTGATCCAAACGATCCTCCACTCCACCTTCACCATTTCCCAGCACCTTACTCGAAGAAGGGGTAAAAGATGAGCTCTTAGGAAAACCTGGAGAAGGAGAAGGAGAGCGTACTACCCATTTCTGTTTTTCAGTACGAGTCCATCGAGTACCTTGTCGACTAGCTGAACCAACTGGTCGTCTCCACTTTTCTTGTACGAGTCCATCGAGTACCTTGTCGACTAGCTGAACCAACCGGCCGTCTCCACTTTTCTTTCTAAGTCCAACGCTGAAATGAAGAAGAGGAGAGAGTTTGATTTTGGGCTTGAGTTTTAACCTGGGCTTTCCTTGGATCTGGGTCATTAAGAACTAAAACAGAAACTGAGTTTGGTCCTTTAATAACCCGTCTTTTTAGTATGGGCTGGCTTAGGCCCAAAATCAGGCTTGAGCCTTAACGCTTTAGTTTGCCCATAACCCCTCCGGCCCAAATCAACTTTAGGCCAATCTGTGCGGCCCAGCCCATTTTCCTCACCAACCCTTGTAAATAAGGATAGTGTGGAATCTGGAAATGAAACTCTATGAGCGCCACGTGTAGAGTAATTATTATCAGCTGTGACGCGCGTAACCGGCGCGTGTCGTTGACTTGATCTTCCTCGTACCCATCCTTTCTCCGGCATATGAGTAGGCCTTTCGCCGCCTTCGATACTCTCTGTTGAGGGAACCAACACTGGCGCAATTTCTTCCCAAATCGCCACCTTGTAGCAGAAAGTATCATCATTAATAAACACAAATTGCGGACAAGTCGATCCTATCCTCACTGTAATACGAACACTCTCGGCATCCTTGGTTTCATCGGCAACAGCTCCCACAAATCCGCCGCATAACTCCCCTACTTCAACAAATAGGGCATGACACCATAGATGAAGGGGGAGCCCAAACATCCGGATCTGTTTGAGTCCTTTTTCTCTAAGGACGCCACAACATCCAACCCTAAAAGACCACACATCGATCCGTAGAGTTGCAGATCCCCAGTGACGTCGTCCTTCCTTTTAACACACGTTGGGCTTCGGCCTGAGAAGGAAACCTGAAAAGAAGCATCGAATCAAATAATGGAGTAACCCCCACACCACAGGACGTATTCCATGCTTTCGCGGCCCATTCCTCCACACGATCACAGCCCCCAACTTCCTTATCAAAACGACCAACCAAGCAAGATGAGAGTACTGATTTCCTCCCTCCGACGGACTTCCCGTCGATATACAAAGACGGTCCTCAGTGCAGAACAGCCGACTTCACATCCCCAGCTAATGAAATTCTTGGAATCCTTGCAGTTTAAGTAAGATTTCATCGCGGAATAAAACAAAAAAAAAAAAAGAAGAAAGAAAAAGACAGTCTCTATCGCTGTAAAAATCGCCCCTAGTGAGGTGAAATCGCCCATAGTGACGTCATTGCGCATTACTAATTAGAACTACAATTTTTAGCTTTTTAACAACAAAAATCAAGATTACATGCAGATTAAGTTTGATTACTGTTAATTTATCATTTTCTTGCAATAATTTGTTGAAAGATAGTCATAACACATTAAAGTCTCTGCAATTTCCATCTAACTGAAAACATCCCAAAGTCATAAGAGTCAAAACTCTGTAATACTTCTAGTTAATTACAAAAAAAATAAATAAATAAAAAAATAAAATAAAATTTAGGGTGGTCAATCTATTGTAGTACAAATCCAGTCATCATTCTGACATCTAACAAGCATCCAAATAACATGTCCACTTCTTTTGGGTTCTCAAATCTCCAAACGGCTCATAACAATTTAACAATTATAATTTATACATTATAATCATAATACATTGACTGAAAGATGGCGCTTGATGTAGTCACTACAATGTTTATAATTTTGTTAGTCGAACTAGTCCAAGGTCTGCGATATGCAGTGCAGAAAATTATTGATATTAAGATGCATCATCAAAGATATCAATACCATTTTATATATATGACAGCATCCCCACGCATATATACATACAGGATTGACGTGGTACACAGAAAAGCGAACTTCAACTTCGATTCTGATACAAGCCTAGTCAAAATCCCGCAACACAAGCAATAGTGGTGAAAATTAAAATATATAATATATGAAATTGTTTTCAAATTATGTTATACAAAAGAGAAAAAATAATTGATAGAGAAATTCACATCATTATTGCCAATCACACATTTTTCACATCATTATTGAAAAATTACTTAAAAGCAGAAACAAGCAAATAAGTAGAGGATATGATTTCCATGTGCCCACCATGTTCATTTCAAACTTCAAGTTATTTGTGAATATGATTTTTGCAAATATTTAATTGTTTTTCCTAGATAAATATTCCATTTTTTGTTTAACTATGCATTTGTGGCAATAAATTTGGTGCAAAGTACAAACTATTACAGCTAACAACGCCTTAAAGTTTAACTTAAAAGTCATTACTCATATAAATTACCCTTGCATATTCAATAAAATTCAATTAAAACATGGTTTTATTCAATTTTGAAGTTAAAACTAGCGTATTGGTTCATTTTGATCATGTTTCTTTGTATTGAAAAATTTTCGTGACTGCGATGCCAGTTACAGCCTGAGACCGCGATTATGTCAGCAACAATGACAGCATTTTAAAACATTCCTTAAAATATTAAAAAGTAACAAAGGGCATGAAACAGTAGAGTCAAGCTCACATGCCATAAACGAATAAGGATTTATTAGAATATTTCAGATATCATGGATGTTAAAAGGTGCAAGAAGTCTACTTAGAAAAGGTAAAATTGAAATAAAAGTTTCTATATGCAAGGTAGATGCATCACATATAAAAAATGTAATTAAAGTTTATCAGTAGGGGTACTGTAATTGAAAATCAGTATTGAGGGAAAAATAATAAGTACTGGCATGAACATAATCACACCATTTTTTATGGCATAAAGGGGACACAGGATTGAATGTTTTTTTCTGATAGGAATGTTTATTATAAAGTAGAATGAACGCAAATATGGAAGTGTCACATGGAAACAGAGACTGCAAGAGTCTTTTTAATATAGCAGGAGCCAAGCAACTGCTTTCAAAATCTAAGGCACAGCTTCATAAAGAAACAAAATATGGTAGAATCTCACACGTCATTTTTGCCATCTCATAGCCTAAAACTTTAATTTTTAACAGACACCACTAGAGATATAAGGCGCGAATTTAAGATTTCCTAACCAGCACTTGCAAAAGTGATAAACCCAATCCCGCGATGTCCTTTGGTACTTGGATCCTGCAAAATAATAACAATTATATGAAATCATATTACAACCCGGAAACATATTATAATGTGCCAAGAGTACATTGAAAGAAAACTAACACAAATTTGTGCATGTATTGATGCACATGAATATACAGCTATATGCAACTTTCAGAGAGAGAGAGAGAGAGAGAGAGATAAATTCAACCTTTGGCATGTATAAATCTGTTATATCGCCATAACTCTCAAAATAACTGCAAAATAAATAAATAAATCATACAGCATCACACTCAAGCCTGGTCAAATATTACCATTCAATGACATAAACAAAGTCCCACTGTTAGTTAAAACAGAAAAAAGCACCTCCGGAAGGCAGCTTCTGTCGCATTTGGCGGAATCCTGGCCACAAATATTCTGGTGGCTTTCTTTGATGACGCCTTCATCTCCTCCTGCCAAAAGTAAAAACAACATTTTCAATAGAAAAGTCAGAAAAATGTAGAAATTTAAATGACAAATTAGACAATAGATATATGATTAATGCATTGCTCAATAAATATATGATTAATGGAATAGAACCTTTGGCATTGCTATCTTCACTTCAAGCATTCTATTGCCAAGAAAGTGCTCACTTGATAATGCATTCTGCAGTACACGAGAGAGAGAGAGGAAAAAAAAAGTTTCCCATCAGAAAATTACAAATTTGAAATTGTATCCAGGATCAAATTCATAAGAACAATACATAAATATACCAAGAAAAGAGAAGCTCACATGGAAAAGCCACCACTATCCATGGAGCACAGATACTTCTATAATGGAGTCATACTCTTATCATTTTTTTTTTTTTGATAAGTGGAGCCATGCTCGTATCTTATTCGTATCAGATACCAAGACCCCTCTGATACTCTCAAAATGCGTCTGATAATTCTTTAGACGTATCCATAATTTCAAAACTTCTTTTTTTTTTTTTAATTGCAATCATGTATCCTCGTGATCATCACCCTCACATCTGACAAATCTTTAACCTTAAAATGCAGCCCTTTTAAAATATAAATATCATCATATAATAATTAAAAATAAACATAACAAGGTTTCAGTACTAGGATTTTTTTCTTGCAGAATAAGAATTGAGATATAACTTTTTTTTTTTAATAAGTAAAAGAAATAAAAATATTGAGATATATAATGAGAATATATCATGTCTATTTAGTTCAAAGTTCCTGTCAATGCAACATAACCTTTAGTTTCTTCATGTGACTTTCAATATTATAAACTAGAAATTCAGAATGTCTAATAGATTATTAAAAAAAAATTGTCATAATACTTTCATTAGAGAATGTTAGACAAACAATTATTGCTTCAAATTTGTACACGAATATATAGGTATTTTGAATTTTATAAATATGTCCATAATATGTATATAGACATATATGTGTGTGTGCATTTGTGTATACAACTATGTAATAATATTTAAGAATTTGTAATATCACCTTGTCCATATTGTGTAGTACACGTACCCAATATCCATATCCTTGCCACATAGGAGTATCACAAGAAAAATGAAGAAATGTGGCAGTGACTAACAAGAAATAAATAAACAAACAAACTTGAGTTACCTTAGCATCCTCAACCGATGCAAATGTTACATATCCAAAACCACGAGAACGACCAGTGGACCGCTCCTAAAACACGAGACAGAGAGAGAGAGAGAGAGTGTGTGCCTTTAGTAAAGAAAAATAAACAAAATTAAGCAACGTAAAAGTATGTTCTTGAGTTAAGAGTATCCACTCTAGAATCATTTATCAATAGTAAATAGGGATAGGGTAAAAGAGGAGGGAAAAAGAAAGGAAAAATCACATATTCTTAAGGGGAGGATAAGAAGCTAAAATAAATCCATTGACCTTTCCCCCTAACTCAATGTCATTCAAACGTCTCTACTAATCTGCATTCTACACTATATACCCCTCAAATATCACACGTACCCAAAGTAGGTAGGATTCTCATGTATTGAATGCAATGATATTGTGTAAGCAACCTAGCATTAGAATTTCAACTCTATATATTGAGAACTCCTATATCATAAATCAATGCAGTAAGAATCTATGTAAATTTCAAATCAATAAAGGGGGGAAAATATTGAAATAAAGAACGAGGTCAAAATCTATTACTATCCCTTACGCGATGCCCCAATTCACACCTGGCTCAGCCATTATCCATCAAAATATCCAAATTCCCTACACGACTTCAATTCTAAGAGAAATCTCAAGGGTAAAAAGTAATTTTACGCAAAATTATATATATCATATATGTTGCTAAATGACAAGTTAGTGACGATAACATGCATCACATAGGTCACCCCTCTACTAAGCAAAAAATAAAAAAATAAAAAAATAATATTCCAACCTTTATGAAATGTATAGTCTACCACAGCTTTTGGAAAACAGTTAAAATTTTCAAATTTGAGATTCCGGGTGGTTGTGTGCTTATGTATGTGCATAGCATGCATCATATTTACCACATAAAATTCAAACTAGTTGAGAATTTATGGAAAACAAAAGCAATTCACATTATCTAATTTCTTCAATAATACAATGAAGCAACCCTACAACTTACACTGACTAGAATATCAACAAGAATAAACACCTTTTTAGTAAGTAAAAAAAAAAAAAAAGCATAAGCCCATTTGTGAAATTCACATTTATTTTTTCTCATAACTTTCTAGCAATCAAAAACATATCCACACCTCTTTCCAATATTTTTGAAAAAAAAATTATAATAATTTATTCTGTTTGCTATGGACTAATTATTAGAATAAAACCAAAGACTAACCTTCATCACAATACAGTCCTCCAATTCTCCAAATTTGGTCATATAATCCCTCAATCCATTTGTATCCACATTCCACGGGATACCCAAAACCTAAAATATACAAAAACATCATATTGAAGGTATACATATTATGTGTGCGCGCATATAAGAGTAGAATTTCAAGCAACTACAACAAATGCTGCTACATATAATGATTAGACAAATAATATAGGTAGAGACTTACCACAAGCTTTCTATCCGACATTCTCGACAAGTACTACTACAGGAAAATCGAAATGTAGAGAGAAAATCGCTAGCTTTGAGCACAAAAAAGTTTCTCTCTCCTCCTCCTGAGCGCTCTCGATCTCACCTCTCTCTCTAAAAATCTCTCACACTCGACCCCTGCAGACAATAGAGACACCTCTTTCTCACACACAAACATCATCAACATCATCATCATATAGCATAACAAACTCACCAATTTTTTTTCTACCAACTTTTTTTGAGAACAACAAAACCTAGAAAATCAGAAGATTGGAGATTATTGAGAGATTACCCACTCAACTGACCTTTGATCGTTAGGACTTTCAAAACCCTAGACGCAAGGTCTCTCTTTCTCTCTCTACTCTCTTCTCTTCTCTCCCTCGCGCCGCTCTGTCCCCTTATACGCAGCAAACCCTCGTCAACCTGTTCAGCCCCCTCCTACCACTCAAGAGCTAGGATTTGGATATGTTTGGTAGGGTGGGTTGGAAGGAGAAGGGTTACTTCAGTTACCATGGAGTAGAAAGGATAATTTGAACTCCTGATTATGGTCTGATTATGGTCGAGAAAAGAAAGAAAAGGAGAATGATCATGTTTGTTTGAGAAAGAAAAGAAAATGAAATTACACTTTTTTAATTTTTAAAAGAAAAATTTATAAATTTAAGTATGTAATATTTGTTAAAAAAAAAAAAAAAAAAAGTGACAAACCTTGTAACAAAACCTATGTAATATATATATAATATTTTTGGGGTAAATCATTTTAGCCTCCCTGCCTCCGTTTCTATTCTCGTCCTAACTCCGAACTTGCCCTCTCTCTCTCTCTCTCTCTCTCTAACTGCAAATACAAGAATCAGAAGTTCAGAATCCATTTCTTTCAGTATATATATTTGTCTGCAAGAATCAAAACTACAAAACCCATATCAGCATCATTTCAGATTGTTCAAAAAATCAAAACCCAATTTCAGCCATATCAAAACCCAATTCGGGTTCGTCGTTCGCAAGCTTCAGCTGACCTTCTTTCTCTTAACTCAAGCTCGCCCCCCTCTCTCTCTCTCTGCAACTGCTAACTTGTATGTATGGGTTTTGTGTGTAATTAAGGGCAAATTAGGCATAAGATCAACCCGCCCAGTCTCTCCTTCCCTTTCCTTCCATTTCCGCCCATTTTTAGAAGGTTAAGAAAGCCACTGTAGATGCCTTGTGTTAACCCTCCAAACCCTTCCCTCTCCTTCCCTTTCCTTCCACCAATTTTACCCAAACAAAATTTTTTTATAACCCTCCATCACCTTCCCTTCCCTTTCCCTTCAAACCCACTATACCAAATTGAGCCTAAAGTTCAGAGGTATAAATTATATTCTTCAGTGTCTTGCACTACTATTGTTCTTTATTATTATTATTATTATTTTTATATTTCACCAACATTTTGACAAATACCACATTAAAATATTTTTTAAAAATTACTATTATTCACATCACATACATTTGGTCTGTTTTTCACTTACATCCCCAATCGTTTCTTTTTTAATAGTGTCACAACACTTTTGCTTGTAAAATGACATTGTTACCCCTTTTGACTCTATGTTGACTTATCAATATGATTAAAATGGCTTGGTTTGTAATTCTAAAAATAATTCTTAAGAATTCAGAGAATAGAAAATAATTTTTAGAAAATAATAAAATACAGTTCTCTAAAAAGAGGCATTTTTATAACTGAGTTTTCATAAAATAGTTTTTAAAAGACTGAATCAAGTTGAATTTTTTTGTACAGTTTTCTACTTTCAGTTTTCTGAAAATAGAAAATTGTTCTCAAAATTACAAATCAAGTAAGGCATCTTTTATAGTTATATGAAAATAGATATTTTTATAACTGAGTTTTCAGAAAATAGTTTTAAAAAAATTGAATCAAACAGAGGTTTTTGTATAATTTTTAGTTTTCAATTTTTTTAAAATAGAAAATTGTTTCCACATTTACAAATCAAGCAAGTCCTTATACATAGTCTTTAACTTTAAATGTATATATATACACATACACTTGCACTAAACAAAAAGGCCAAAAAAAATAAAATAAAATGACAGCACCAAGTTATCGCAATAGAATAGATTTGGTAATCACTACACTTATTAAAGAGAAATAACTATAATTAATGAAAGAGAATAATTTTATTAATGATTATGAGAACCTGATGTGATTGAAGAACATTGAATAGCTTTCTATTGGAATTTACTATTTAGGAGGACAAATCGGTCAATTTCGGACAACACTCACGAACACAAGGAAAAGATCGTTTATATCGATACTGACAAGATAGTTTTATCAGATAATGAAAATACTCTAAGCATTTCATTAGTTATGTATTAACGTTCTAACAAAAATACTTGTATGCATCAAAATCCCTGAGTTCAGCGAGGTAAATGCATTAAAAGGGGACGAATTTTAGCGGATGGTGCCGCTACAGTTGGTGGCGAAATCGCAAGTGACTCATACAGTTCTTGCAATATTATTTTTTTCCCTTAAAAGAACAACAAAAAAATGTAGTGAATTTAAGTGTTAAAAAAAAAAAAATCAATCTTAAATTCAATCACCATATAATATATATATATAGCTTTTCGTAGACATCACCGCCCACACTGTTTAATTTGCTTTAAAATCAAGACGTTTTGATTTGTTATGTGCGAGAGACACTGTCAGGCTACCACACTGACGAGTTACGGGTGCATAGTCCCACATCATCTGGGTAGAGGAAATGTGAAGTGCTTATATATAAGTGTGTCATCTACAATTGGTTTGAGGCTTTTTGGGGTGAAGTCCAATAGCAAAACCGTGCAGGCTCAGGCCCAAAGCGGACAATATCATACCATGTGGTGGAGTGGGTCGTTACAAATGGTATCAGAGCCTGACCCAGCCGGAAGTGTGCCAATGGGGACGTCGGGCCTCCAAAGGGGGTGGATTGTGATGACCTTGTGGGCGGGTGTACCGTGGGCAGGTGCGAGAGAGCCTGACCCAGCTGGAAGTGTGCCGATGGGGATGTCGGGCCTCCAAAGGGGGTGGATTGTGATGACCTTGTGGGCGGGTGTGCCGTGGGCGGGTGCGAGAGACACTGTCAGTGATAAGCGCTGAATACTGTATATTCAAGCGCCCTAAATTACATTAACAAAGTCCATTAATTGATTATTTTATGTAGATTAACTCCATTTGCATGTTTTTGTACATTTTCAGGTTAAAGTGCAAAAAGGAAGCAAAAATGATGCCTTGTGGAATTTTGAACAAAAAGGGTGCCAATTCTGAAATTCTGGCAGCAGTAGAACCTGACTTTTGTCACCATTTTCGACCTAGCAAACTCAAGAACTGGACTTCCATTATAACATGAAAGATTTATAGCTTTGAATTATCTTTCTAAATCTTCAAACGGTTCATCATTCGGAGCTCGGAGCAGAGAGTTATGGCCTTGTTACCAGAGGTGCGCAGAACTGCCTGGCAGCATTGAAGTACTGCCTTTCTCCCCATTTTTGACCAACCAGACCTGAGAATTGGGTCTTCATCAAAACATGAAGTTTTTAAAGCTCTGAATCAGCTCTCCAAATCTTCAAATAGATCATCCTTCGGAGTTCGGAGCACAAAGTTATGGTTATTCTTCCACAGTGGGTCAGAGATGGGCAAGAATTGCATGTTGCTCATTACACTAATTTAGAGTGCTCGAGACCACCCTTCGAGTGCTCGAAATTCAGGCAGATTGCACTCGGAAATGGCTCAATTTCAGCCACTTGCACATTGGTTTCCTCAATGCCATCTTCCTTCTTTATGAAGTGGTTGGAGGTGTTCCTTGGAGGAGAGAGAGCCTTGACTTGAGCTTGATAAGAGAGAGGGAGGACCACACAAAATCATTATCCTATATTCTAGCAAGATAGAGGAGAGAGAAGAGGGCAAAGAGGGGAGTTCTTCAAGCAAAGGAAGGAGCACGAAATGGAGTATTGGAGGGAGCTTCTTCCTTCTTCTAGCTTAACAATGGGTAACTAACTCTTTCTCTAGGGAGGTGATGAAGTCCCTCCCTTGTAAGCATGTCCTAGGATAGTCTATTTTAGGGATTTGCCATGTATATTTTATGGTCTTTTCATAACCAAGAGCACCTCATTTGTTGTAATGAATGTTGATACATGTATGGATGATTTCTTTAAGTTGATTATCTTATTTTAGATGATGTCTTAGAGTAATCATATTGCTTGAGTTTTCATGGTGAGAGTGGAAGCAAGGTTATGAAATGGTTTCATGACATGTTGATAGGTGACTTTGATAGACCATTGCTTAGGAAATCCTTTGATGGTGTATGCTTAATCTCTAACTCCATGTGCTTTATCATTTTGTCAAGAACTTGATAGTCTCTCATTTAAGTAAATGTGTATAAGCTACACCTTAGTTAGGTAGTCTAAGCATGTTTATCTTTTGATGGATTATACTTGTTTGAGACCTAATGTACCTCTTGATTACTTACATGGCAACCATGTGTTGCTATGTAAGTCTTGACCATCATATGTTGCTTTTCCCCCAATTTAGGTCTAATCTAGCATATGTATAGGGATGGAGGCGGATTCACTTCCCTAGTCTCCTCTTCTTAATCTTTTCATCCTAAATTCCTTGCAAATTAGTGTTTTATGCACTTTGAATTCCTAATTTAAGTGACAACAAACAAAACCTCTATGAACACCCCTTCATCATCCTAAGAATGACTCTAGACACTTAGGTTGCCTTAGACTAGCGCAGTCCCAGTGGTTCGACTTACCCGACCAATAGCCCTATTTTACAATGATTCGTGCTATTGCGAAGGTTGATGTTAATTGACCAACCGATCAATTTTTGGCGCCGTTGCCGGGGACTGCAAACAGTTTAACGACCATAGTTCTAGGGTTAAATTTAGTTTGATTGTGAATATTTCTTTTGTGGTTTAACCATCTTTGTGTTGTAAGTGAGATTCTAGAAACTCAAGGCTTGCCGAGGGAAAATTGAGAAAATTGTAAGTCTAGAGGACTTCCGGTAAGTTTTTCAAGGTTCTAGTCTTTCAAATTGTGAATATCTTGCATGTGTTTAACTTAGTGTTATTTAGCTTGTGAAACCCTTGTCGAGGCTATTATTTTGTTTTAATTTCGTGTATAAGCATCGGTCTTTGTCGTGGCCATTTATTTTTGTCTTGATAATTGAGGAGAAAAGGAACATCGTATGTGGAGCATTGATGATGAATTGTGTTGTTGAATATATGCTTTGTTGTTGATGTTTGGCCGTAGGTCACTCTCTCTACCCACACTTGACTCGCCTATTCAATTTTTTTATTTTTTATTTTTTTTTATTTACTTTATAAATGTCCCAACTTCTTAAAAATATAGACATCTAAAATGATTTTTTGATCCAATATATATATTTCAAATAAATTATATTTTGTTATTACTTCTTTTCTTTTTCTTTTTTTATTTTTATATTTAGATGCTTAATTATTTCATCTAAAAAAATTAAACCAATCTCTTTTCCTTAAATATAAAAAATATGGTACCCGTATAACTTTATGCATCTTAAATTATATATCAAATATTA